TTTTAGTAGAATGTGGATAACCAATCAAAGAGATACCTGCAAAAGGAATAAGAATTGACTCATAATTTTTTCTGATATGAAGCAAATCATCTAATGGAATATCATGCTTGAGACCAGCATATGATATACGATTCTAATTCTTACTAAAGCAATATGTGATACTTTCTTAATGGTTCTCGTAAAGATAGCAATAGCCATGGCCAACCAAGCAAAACCAACAAAAAGACCAAAAATTAAAGTAAAATTACAGATACACTAACCTGAGCCAGCAGCTGTAGTGGCTTGGTTGTACTTCTTGTCTAGAATATACCTAGCAGCACAAACGTCCGTAGGGTAGGACGAACGGTACGTACCTACCTAAGGGGGTTAGTTTACCGGGTCGCTTGGCTACAACATACCCATCAAAATCCAATTGCTAGAAAAAACCCGAGATCTCCAAATCTGAAACCTCTCCAATAATCATAATTTTCACTTTATGTCCTACCAAAAGCATGTTCTTTCGACAGGCCTCCACTGTCATACAGGTCCAAAGTACTTTGCATTATTTTCGAAGCCCTAAACTTATTCCTCCTATGAATTATATATGCTTTGGATGGAGAGGAAGTGTATTGGCTGATGGTACCATATGACTCATCCATCTCTAGAAAAAGTGAATTGGATGTTACTTCTTCTGCACGTATCATGAGGTACCCTTGCTATCGAATTCTCTCTACCAAAAAATTTAATTCGGGTAGCAAGCTGAATCAAATTATCTAAGAGAATGCAAGAGCAAGGCAACCTTATCACACCTGCGTAAAAAGTGATATCCAATTTACAATTTTTTTAAAATGGACAAGACGAGTCACATGGTGCCATTAGACAACACAGAGGAACTTCCTCTCACGCAACATCAACCAACGCACGTCTATTGTGATGAAAGAAGAAACAGAGGAGCTTGCTTTTAGTAGAATGTGGATACCAATCAAAGAGATACGTGCAAAAAAATATGAATTGAAGCATAATTTTTTCTGATATGAAGCAAATCATCTAATGGAATATCATGCTTGAGACCGGCATATGATATACGATTCTAATTCTTAATAAAGCAATATGTGATACTTTCTTAATGGTTTTAGTAAAGATAGCAATAGCCACGGCCAACCAAGCAAACCAACAAAAAGCAAAAATTAAAGTAAAATTCAGATCACTAACCTGAGCCAGCAGCTGTATTAGCTTGCATGTACTTCTTGTCTTGAATATACCTAGCAGCACAAACGTCCATGAGCTAGTCTCTATTGTTCCTGGCTTGGCTACAACATACCCGTCAAAATCCAATTGCAAGAAAAAACCCGAGATCTCCAAATCTAAAACCTCTCCAGTAATCATAATTTTCACTTTATGTCCTACCAAAAGCATGTTGTTCCGACAGGCCTCCCCTGTCATATAGTTCCAAAGTACTTTGCATTATTTTCGAAGCCCTAAACTTATTCTTCCTATGAATTATATATGCCTTGGATGGAGAGGAAGTGTATTGGATGATGGTACCATATGACTCATCCATCTCTAGAAAAAGTGAATTGGATGTAACTTCTTCTGCACGTATCATGAGGTACCCTTGCTCTCGAATTCTCTCTACCAAAAAATTTAATTCAGGTAGCAAACTGAACCAAATTATCTAAGAGAATGCAAGAGCAAGGCAACCTTATCACACCTGCGTAAGAAGTGACATCCAATTTACATTTTTTTTAAAATGGACAAGACGAGTCACATGATGCCATAAGACAACACATTGGAACTTCCTCTCATGCAACATTAACCAACACACGTCTATTGTTATGCAAGAAGAAACAGAGTAGCTTGCTTTTAGTAGAATGTGGATAACCAATCAAAGAGATACCTAGGAATATGAAGTGAATCATAATTTTTTCTGATATGAAGCAAATCATCTAATGGAATATCATGCTTGAGACCAGCATATGATATACGATTCTAATTCTTAATAAAGCAATATGTGATACTTTCTTAATGGTGTTAGTAAAGATAGCAATAGCCATGGCCAACCAAGCAAACCAACAAAAAGCAAAAATTAAAGTAAAATTCAGATCACTAACCTGAGCCGGCAGCTGTAGTGGCTTGCATGTACTTCTTGTCTTGAATATACCAAGCAGCACAAACGTCCATGAGCTAGACTCTATTGTTCCTGGCTTGGCTACAACATACCCGTCAAAATCCAATTGCAAGAAAAAACCCGAGATCTCCAAATTTGAAACCTCTCCAATAATCATAATTTCACTTTATGTCCTACCAAAAGCATGTTCTTCCTACAGGCCTCCTCTGTCATACAGATCCAAAGTACTTTGCATCATATTCGAAGCCCTGAATCTATTCCTCCTATGAATTATATATGCTTTGGATGGAGAGGAAGTGTATTGGCTGATGGTACCATATGACTCATCCATCTCTAGAAAAAGTGAATTGGATGTTACTTCTTCTGCACGTATCATGAGGTACCCTTGCTCTCGAATTCTCTCTACCAAAAAATTTAATTTAGGTAGCAAGCTGAATCAAATTATCTAAGAGAATGCAAGAGCAAGGCAACCTTATCACACCTGCGTAAGAAGTGACATCCAATTTACAATTTTTTTAAAATGGACAAAACGAGTCACATGATGCCATTAGACAACACAGAGAAACTTCCTCTCATGCAACATTAACCAACGCACGTCTATTGTGATGCAAGAAGAAACAGAGGAGCTTGCTTTTAGTAGAATGTGGATAACCAATCAAAGAGATACCTGCAAAAGGAATAAGAATTGAATCATAATTTTTTCTGATATGAAGCAAATCATCTAATGGAATATCATGCTTGAGACCAGCATATGATATACGATTCTAATTCTTACTAAAACAATATGTGATACTTTCTTAATAGTTTTAGTAAAGATAGCAATAGCCATGGCCAACCAACCAAACCAACAAAAAGCAAAAATTAAAGTAAAATTCAGATCACTAACCTGAGCCAGCAGCTGTAGTGGCTTGGTTGTACTTCTTGTCTAGAATATACCTAGCAGCACAAACGTCCATGAGCTAGTCTCTATTGTTCCTCGCTTGGCTACAACATACCCATCAAAATCCAATTGCTAGAAAAAACCCGAGATCTCCAAATCTGAAACCTCTCCAGTAATCATAATTTTCACTTTATGTCCTACCAAAAGCATGTTCTTTCGACAGGCCTCCACTGTCATACAGGTCCAAAGTACTTTGCATTATTTTCGAAGCCCTAAACTTATTCCTCCTATGAATTATATATGCTTTGGATGGAGAGGAAGTGTATTGGCTGATGGTACCATATGACTCATCCATCTCTAGAAAAAGTGAATTGGATGTTACTTCTTCTGCACGTATCATGAGGTACCCTTGCTCTCGAATTCTCTCTACCATAAAATTTAATTCAGGTAGCAAGCTAAATCAAATTATCTAAGAGAATGCAAGAGCAAGGCAACCTTATCACACCTGCGTAAGAAGTGACATCCAGTTTACAATTTGTTTAAAATGGACAAGACGAGTCACATCATGTCATTAGACAACACAGAGGAACTTCATCTCATGCAACATCAACCAACACAGGTCTATTGTGATGCAAGAAGAAACAGAGGAGCTTGATTTTAGTAGAATGTGGATAACCAATCAAAGAGATAACTGCAAAAGGAATAAGAATTGAATCATAATTTTTTCTGATACGAAGCAAATCATCTAATGGAATATCATGTTTGAGACCAGCATATGATATACGATTCTAATTCTTACTAAAGCAATATGTGATACTTTCTTAATGGTTCTAGTAAAGATAGCAATAGCCATGGCCAACCAAGCAAACCAACAAAAAGCAAAAATTAAAGTAAAATTCAGATCACTAACCTGAGCCAGCAGCTGTATTGGCTTGCTTGTACTTCTTGTCTAGAATATACCTAGCAGCACAAACGTCCATGCGCTAGTCTCTATTGTTCCTGGCTTGGCTATAACATACACGTCAAAACCCAATTGCAAGAAAAAACCCGAGATCTCCAAATTCGAAACCTCTCCAGTAATCATAATTTTCACTTCATTTCCTACCAAAAGCATGTTCTTCCTACAGGCCTCCTGTGTCATACAGTTCCGAAGTACTTTGCATTATATTCGAAGCCCTGAAACTATTCCTCCTATGAATTATATATGTTTTGGATGGAGAGGAAGTGTATTGGCTGATGGTACCATATGACTCATCCATCTCTAGAAAAAGTGAATTGGATGTTACTTCTTCTGCACGTATCATGAGGTACCCTTGCTCTCGAATTCTCTCTACCAAAAAATTTAATTCAGGTAGCAAGCTAAATCAAATTATCTAAGAGAATGCAAGAGCAAGGCAACCTTATCACACCTGCGTAAGAAGTGGCATCCAATTTACAATATTTTTTAAAATGGACAAGATGAGTCACATGATGCCATTAGACAACACGGAGGAACTTCTCTTATGCAACATCAACCAACACACGTCTATTGGGATGAAAGAAGAAACAGAGGAGCTTGCTTTTAGTAGAATGTGGATAACCAATCAAAGAGATGCCTGCAAAAGGAATAAGAATTGAAGCATAATTTTTTCCGATATGAAGCAAATCATCTGATGGAATATCATGCTTGAGACAAGCATATGATACGATTTTAATTCTTAATAAAGCAATATGTGATACTTTCTTAATGGTTTTAGTAAAGATGGCATAGCATGCACAGCAACATAAAGAAAATAAGAAATTACAGATCACTTGAGCCAGCAGCTGTAGTGGCTTGCCTGTACTTCTTGTCTTGAATATATCTAGCAGCACAAACGTCCATGAGCTAGTCTCTATTGTTTCTGGCTTGGCTACAACATACCCGTCAAAATCCAATTGCAAGAAAAAACATGAGATCTCCAAATCTGAAACCTCTCCAGTAATCATAATTTTCACTTTATGTCCTACCAAAAGCCTGTTCTTCCGACAGTCCTCCTCTGTCATACAGTTCCAAAGTACTTTGCATTATTCCAATTGAAAGAAAAAACCTGAGATCTCCAAATCTGAAACCTCTCTAGTAATCATAATTTTCACTTTATGTCCTACCAAAAGACTGTTCTTCCGACAGGCCTCCTCTGTCATACAGTTCCAAAGTTCTTTGCATTATATTCGAAGCCCTAAACTTATTCCTCCTATGAATTATATATGCTTTGGATGGAGAGGAAGTGTATTGGCTGATGGTACTATATGACTCATCCATCTCTAGAAAAAGTGAACTGGATGTTACTTCTTCTGCACGTATCATGAGGTACCCTTGCTTTCGAATTCTCTCTACCAAAAAATTTAGAGCCTGTTTGGACATAAAATATTTTTTCCTTTTTTCCAAAAGAATTTCACTTTTTTTCGAAATCAGCGTTTGTTCATAAAACTTTCCATTTTCACTTGAAGATGCATTTTGAAAATTTTCGAAAATTATAAAAACTCCAAAAAGCTTTTTTCAAAATTTTCACTTAAATCACTCACAAAAATTTAAAAACAACCCAAACTAAATTTTATGTCCAAACACAACTCTAAATTTCAAATATCATTTTCACTTGAAAAAATTTTCGCCATTTTTTGGAATTTTACAATTTTTATGTCCAAACGCCTACTTAATTCAGGTAGCAAGCTGAATCAAATTATCTAAGAGAATGCAAGAGCAAGGCAACCTTATCACACCTGCGTAAGAAGTGACATCCAATTTACAATTTTTTTAAAATGGACAAGACGAGTCACATGATGCCATTAGACAACACAGAGGAACTTCCTCTCATGCAACATCAACCAACAAACGTCTATTGTGATGAAAGAAGAAACAGAGGAGTTTGCTTTTAGTAGAGTGTTGATAACCAATCAAAGAGATGCCTGCAAAAGGAATAAGAATTGAAGCATAATTTATTCTGATATGAAGCAAATCATCTGATGGAATATCATGCTTGAGACCAGCATATGATATACGATTCTAATTCTTAATAAAGCAATATGTGATACTTTCTTAATGGTCTTAGTAAAGATAGCAATAGCCATGGCCAACCAAGCAAACCAACAAAAAGGAAAAATTAAAGTAAAATTCAGATCACTAACCTGAGCCAGCAGCTGTAGTGGCTTGCCTGTACTTCTTGTCTTGAATATACCTAGCAGCACAAACGTCCATGGGCTAGTCTCTATTGTTCCTGGCTTGGCTACAACATACCCGTCAAAATCCAATTGCAAGAAAAAACCCGAGATCTCCAAATCTGAAACCTCTCCAGTAATCATAGTTTTGCGCTTTATGTCCTACCAAAAGCCTGTTCTTCCGACAGGCCTCCTTTGTCATACAATTCCAAAGTACTTTGCATTATTTTCGAAGCCCTAAACTCATTCCTCCAATGAATTATATATGCTTTGGACGGAGAGGAAGTGTATTGGCTGATGGTACCATATGACTCATCCATCTCTAGAAAAAGTGAATTGGATGTCACTTCTTCTGCACGTATCATGAGGTAGCCTTGCTATCGAATTCTCTCTACCAAAAAATTTAATTCAGGTAGCAAGCTGAATCAAATTATCTAAGAGAATGCAAGAGCAAGGAAACCTTATCACACATGCGTAAGAAGTGACATCCAATTTACAATTTTTTTTAAATGGACAAGACAAGTCACATGATGCCATTAAGACAACATAGAGGAACTTCCTCCCATGCAACACCAACCAACACACTTCTGATGTGATGAAAGAAGAAACAGAGGAGCTTGCTTTTAGTAGAATGTGGATAACCAATCAAAGAGATGCCTGCAAAAGGAATAAGAACTGAAGCATATATGAAGCAAATCATCTGATGGAATATCATGCTTGAGACCTGCATATGATATACGATTCTAATTCTTAATAAAGCAATATGTGATACTTTCTTAATGGTTATAATAAAGATAGAACAGGAGCTCCTTTTAATAATTATTTTAAATACCCTATAACAAAGCTCTTGAATCATAGGAGACTAGACACAAAAATAAGAGCCTCAAGAATTCAGAAGTTTAAGTATCACCAAGCAGCTGCTCAATCCTGAGGAAGAAAAAATAGAAGAAGAGATAGTGAGATGTTTCCCTTCAATGTATAAATCTGTAGGCAGGATGTTCCCCGTGCAATCAATAAAATTACTTATTTTCCTTTCTCCTTTGCTACTAGGTAAGTAAGGAATTTCTATTAGTGCATGACCTTAAGTTGCATTGGTTGTGTCATGTGTGACGTCCGCCAATGATGGATCATCGTTGTTCATTACTTTAGACTTCCTAGGTTTGCCCCTTCCCTCTTATTAGCCATATAGGTTTGGAACCCTATACAATGGGCTGCTTGCCACTTCGTCAATAAAATTATCAAAATTCGCTTCTCCCTTTTTCTCCCTTCTTTATAATTAGAAAGAAGAAAGAAGGACAAGGGAATCTCATCTAAAGACATGGAATAAGAAACGATCCTATTGATGTAGATTCCGTAACTTTTCCAAAAATAGTAAGTTCTGACACATTTGGGATTTTTTGGAAATTAAAACCAGATACTAATTCATGAGCTGGCATGTATAGAATCAAAAATAAGATATTGTCAGATGTGATTGAAAATCTCGATATAGGTATTCGGATTAGAATCATAAGGTGTAAATCATTATTTTTAGTCTGCCAATCACTAGGGGTTTAAAGCTGTTTATGCTGAAATCTTATGCAAATCTTTACTTTGATGAATTTTACTTCTTTCCTGCATAAGGCTCTCTCACATTTTTTAATTAAAGTTTTAAACTTAATTTCTTACTTAAATAGCGACGATTCATGCACAAAGTTGCAGAAAATCTCAAAGACCAGAATTTTCTAAAAATGAATTCATGCTCCATGTCAAAACTAAAATAAGAGCTTTTTTGGTAGGATCAGTCGATCACCAGGAACAAACTGATTGCTAATAAGCATTCAAGTTACTCCTGCATCTTTTCCGCTTAAATCGGAATGAGATATAAGCATATCCAATATTTGAGCTTCCACTTTAGGTAAAATATCCTGTAGGATTTAGTATTTGACAGTTGTTCTATTATTTGGTACTATTAAACGAGGCTAGACAATTGACAGTCAATGACATCAGAAACAGAACCAACTTTCCGAGAAGAAATGAACAGAATGATACCAAAAAATTGAAACTAAATATGCATATACAATAACTACTATGCCTCAATCACACACAATTTTGGGTTGGCTATAGGAATCCTCACTGAATTCTCCATTTTGTCAACTCATGTCATCATCATACCAAACAAAAATAGAAGTGAAAATTAACTTAAATATATATAAATAATATTAAGATTGAAAGCTCTCTATATTTTTACTGGCATATACATCGATGATAAGGTCAAAATACTCCTAGGAAAAACCAATAGGTTCAATAATAGTGAATGATAATGAAAGTTCTCTATATTTTTACTAGCATATACATCTATGATAAGGTCAAAATACTCCTAGGAAAAACTGATAGGTTCAAAATCAACGTACTAACATGACTAAAACCTATTCCCAACTAGTAGATATCACCTATGTTGAATCTTTTTATTCCATTATGTCCTATCTTTAGCTAAGTCAGAATTTATTCCAAAAATTGGTAGGTTTTCGAGACAATTTCCTTCCATGTGATTCTTGTCCCGTTTTAAGTTTTAACACCTTCGTTCACCAAAAAAGTAAACATGCACATAATGTTAACTTTTTCCTTTGATGTGAAAAATTCAGAGCACTTACCGCTGACAGCCAAACTTGATTAGATACTTGTTGGGCAGCTTTGTTTTTCCCTGGAGGCACAACGGAAGGACAAATCAATAGGAAGTACAACAAGAAATAAATAAAAAATCATAAAGAACACATAAATGCCTCCACCAATATTTAACTAAATAAAGTAGCATGAATCTACTGAACTGCTGGTTCAAATTCATCAGTTGTATGATCTAGACCTTAAGAGATTTAATATATCATATGTGTGATCATTGCAAGGAAATTTAATGGCAGCTCTTGTGATGCTAATTGATGAGAAAAATCTTCAAAATGAAACTGTAGATAATATACAGAAATGGAAGGTGATTCGCAGCTCCATAAAGCAAGCCAGTGGAAAATATGTGCATATTCTAAGTATCAACTTCAGAATCAAAGGATAAAGAGATGCAGAGGGGACAGAGGAGATGACCAATTTTCAGCTCCTAATAACCACAGTTCTTCACTCATAAGATAATAAAGTAAGTGGTATTCTATTATTAGACCAGATCTTGTCTCAAAGTTGAAGCAATTGCCAATTTAAACATACAGAAAGGCATATATACACATGGATTGCTCGCTCTCTCTTTTTTCTTCTTCTGGTGCTGAGGCATTTACCTGAACAGTTGTATAGATTTTGTGGATTTCTAAGATGAAATCCATGTTGTATAGTTCTTTTTTCCCAGGATGCCACTTGTATAATGATTTGACAACAGTGAATTATATAACATTTGCTAGCACCTATCAAAAATGAAAAGAAGCTTATTAGAATTCTCAGTATAACTGAGGGATTTTTATGAAGAATTACACAGCCAGCACGGAAACAGGTCATTTCCAGTTCATTTAAGATTTTATACGTGATATAAATTTAATAACAAAAATGGAAGAATTAATTTTTTTTCCCTGGTAGGATGCAGTAGTAATTTTTTTATGAAAAAAAATCCACCCTGTGGTGGCGAGGGGTGAGACAGACCACAAGATACGCATGAAAACATTACCACACAACTCCAAGAGGTTTCAATTGCACAAGTTTTATTAAGTCATGTCAACCAGAAAGTTTTTAAGTCACTGGTGATTCATGGACTTAAAGAGTAAACTCTTTTACATGCTAAGCTCATACTTAAATCTACAACAAATTCTTGTCCTTCATGGGCAAATCTATCAGAAGGAAGATTAGTTTCAGTTTCTACTTTTGCTTCTTAAGTCAAACTGGAATTTGTGCCTAACGGGATCCCGGCTGTCATCGATCCATTTCTGGCCACACAAGGTTAAGCTCCTGGAGAGGACTATCTCACTTGACTAGAAGAGCAAAGGGCAGAACACATCTCTTTTTTATTTGCTAATTCTTGTTTGACTTTCTCTCTTCCTAATAAATGAATAGCACTTACTAAGAAAATAGATGATCTGGTATATAATTTGTATGAATTTCCATAAAGTCAACAAACAGGATAGCCATTTTGCGCAGGTGGTCTCTTAGTCCTAATATGTTGGTCTAAGATTTTACAACTTGATTTCACGACTTATGAACATCACAAATTATAACACAGGAGCCATTCATAATGCAGCAGCTAAGTTTTATGAGGCTAAGTGATACATTTACAAGTATGCAATGACCACAGCGCGCCCATGTGAACCTACAATCCTAATTGCTTACCATGTGATCCTAAATAGTGACAATTGACAAACCGCTTCCCTGGAATACTTCCTCAGAGAACCAAAGTCGACATCATGCTAGCTGTTAAGGGCCTATAGTCTCTACCAACTATGTTAACCACAGTTTAAGAAACTCAATTATGCAACTTAGGGAGGTCCTAGAAACAATGATAAAAGACAGTTTTTACCATACCCAAATACATTTATCATGGTGAGGTACATTTATCACGGTGGAATGACTAACAAGTTTATCACATAAACACGACAACATAATACGTCGTAACTATTATGAGAAGATTATCCTATTTTATAATGCTGGTGTCCAGGTCAGCTTGCGACACCTTGCCTAATCCACTGGGAACCAACTATCTCCCACCAGCATCACTAAGACTTCAGTAAATGAGAAAAATCACCTAGCATCTTTTTTGTCTCCGTTGGAATTTGAATTCTAGCCGTGGAAACAGCCTCTTGCAGAAGCAGGGTAAAGCTGCGTACAATAGACCCTTGTCGTCTTGCCCTTCCTCGAACTCCGCACATAGTGGAAGCTTAGTGCACCGGGCCGCCCTTTTTGGAATTTGAATTCTGGTCTTCAATGATTTTCACCACACTATATTGACCGCTGACCATACCCTTAGGTGCAGAAATTACAAAAGCATAATGTTGCTTGATTTTCATATAATAGATCTAAATGTTTAATATCTTTAGCATCCAAGGGTGTGGCCTAGTGGTCAACGAAGTGGTTTACGAACCATGAGGTCTCAAGTTCAAATTCTAATAGAGGCAAAAATACTAGGTGATTTCTTCCGATCCCCAAGCCTTGATGGATAGAATTATTCGATACTTGTGTTGGTGGGAGCTAGCAGGTACCCCAAGGATTTAGTCGAGGTGCACGCAAGCCTCCGGACACCACGTTTATAAATAAAAAAAATTAATATATTTACTTCTAGGAAATATTATAATGTGGTAACTCGGAAATTCATGCTTTTTAACCTTAAGGAGCAGTAGAAGCTTTAGTTCTTCTAGATGTCGTAAATTATCTTTTTATGAGAGACATGCTTAGTAAGAGCATTTGACCAATGAAAAAATTCTTTTAGCCCCAAACTTCTACCACTACGGTCTCAATCTCACTAATCAAAACTAATGTCATGAATACTTTCCTTTTCGTTTAGTCCAAACTAATAAATCATTAATGTGTGAATGTATTATTTCTTATAGGATTTGCAAATATAATCAAGAAAGTAGGATTAGGAAACTTCATGACAGTCATGGAAAGTCATACTTGCTATTAACACCAAATTTTCATAAACATTGCACACTAAACACTCATTCAATAGAAAATAGAATGAAATTGGAGTCTTTATTGTTTAAGTATTTATGACGACTTGAAGAATTGGGATGAAAAATGTTCAACTTCACAATGTATATCTTTACTTTAATGCTCTATCTTATTGCAGTTATTAGAGAAAGACAAAGGAAGTCACAAATGGAATATACCTATTTAATTATGACTTCCTCTGATGCTACTTGTACCGGGTCGGACGCCCTCTAGTCATAACTTGCTGAAATTGGAATGACCTAGATAGAAGGGTTTTGGACCTAAGTTGCTCGGACTCTTCACTTACAGTGGCGCACCCGTGTCGACACTACGTGGGTATGGGCGCAGGTGTGGGTGTGTGATCCGTACCAAATCTGGTCAACCGATTTTGAGTACTTTGACCAAAGTCGACGGAGAAATTCGGGACATATGCAATGATTTTTGAAATCAAAACAGAAGTTAGGGTGAAATTTAAGAAAATGAAATACTTTGTATACAGAAATTTTTATATCAGTCATTTTCCTTTTATCTCCTCCTCGGATACTCCTCTTGACCAAGATTTTTTCCTTCTTATAATACCTTTTAAGTTTTTCACATAATGTCTCATAATTTAGATATATCTTTATAGTTCTATTTTTAGATATGTGAATTATTTTTAGCCAAATCCACACACCCGTATCCGTACCTGGATCTGTACTCCCCGTTTCTTATAATTTAGATCATGAAGGATCCGACCTCTAGATCCGCACCCGTATCGGACACCCGCACCTGAGTCCGAGCAACTTAGTTTTGGACTACTTGCAAAGACAACGAGTAGTTTAAAATATGTTAGCTTTAGGAAGCTACTTGAAGAATATAGAAGTCGATCAAGGTAAAGAAAGATGGCTTTCAAACATGTTATGTTATGATGGCAAGATCAGCTGAGTCTCAATAGTATTATAAAAAGTCATCGCTTCGCCACTTAGAACGACGAAATAGTGCGAAGCGAGGAGTTATCGCTTCGTGGGTGAAGCCATGCGCTTCACAGAAGTGTGCGCTTCAAATAATGATGCGCGAAATCATTGTAACGAGATGCGGTCCATTTTTTGACTCAACTATGAGGAGTTCGATTAATATCAACGTTATTATAGTACTAATTTATACATGTTTGGTATTTTTTTAGTTTTCTGTAACTAGTGCACTTTACTTCAAAGAAGCATGCGCATCACTTCTCGCTTTTCGCTTCAAACATCATCAAACTTGTTGCTTTTTTGTGCTTTTCGATTTTATAAGCACTAGAGCCTCATGGTTTAAGCTTGATTGACAGTGAGATCACTACTTGAACAGTGATGAAAGTGGGACACTCTGATTGGTGTTTTCATATGGAAGGCTTCAAGATTAAAAGGCATCGAGCTAAGTCCTGACTCGACGAATCTGAAATAATTCTTGAATGACACTCAAGGTTCCTCTTTAAGTGGATTTCTTCCTTTTCTCTTTGATCATCCAATGAGAAAAGGTAGTGAAGTAAATTCCTAATACTTGATAATACAAAACTTAAGTATTTGGTCTTTGTTTTCCGAGCTTAAAAGGGGATAGACTAGTAGGTGTTATGGAATTCAAAAGCAATTGAACTACCATTCGTTTTCCCTTTACCAACTCAGGGATCCCCTTCCTCTTTTACCCTACCCCCTATTCACCAAATGATGCACCGGGAGGATGTATTCCCCTGAATATCGCAATGCAGAAACTTTCCTGAATCTATGCACTCTATTCTTACGGCACAGTCTCAACAGAACAAACAGAAACAAAAGCGTCATATTTAACTTCGTGGAACGACGTAACACACCTTTCAGGTACCAATTGTGGTCCCCCAACTCAATCTCCAATACCAATCTTCCTTCATCCACGTGGCTCAAAATGCATGACTCTTTGGCCATTAACTTTAAATGTTCTACTCCCGTTCCCTTTACCAACTCAGGGATCCCCTTCCTCTTTTACCCTACCCCCTATTCACCAAATGATGCACCGGGAGGATGTATTCCCCTGAATATCGCAATGCAGAAACTTTCCTGAATCTATGCACTCTACTCTTACGGCACAGTCTCAGCAGAACAAACAGAAACAAAAGCGTCATATTTAACTTCGTGGAACGACTTAACACACCTTTCAGGTACCAATTGTGGTCCCCCAACTCAATCTCCAATACCAATCTTCCTTCATCCACGTGGCTCAAATAATGCATGACTCTTTGGCATTGACTTTAAATGTTCTACTCCCGTCATCAACTCCTAATTCTATAGAACCAAAGGGGTAGACATTCACCACCTTGAATGATCTGGATCATTTGGACTTAGGTTTGCCCGCGAACAACTTTAGTCTGGAGTTGTATAGAAGAACCATGTCCCCGGGTAAAACTCTCTATTCAAGATCTTCTTGTCATAACGATATTTATTATAGCATATCTTTTAGCCGAGGGTCTTTCGGAAACAGCCTCTCTACTCCTTCGGGGTAGAGGTAAGGTATGCGTACACACTACCCTCCCCGGACCCCACTAGTGGGATTTTACTGGGTTGTTGTTGTTGTTGTTGTTTTAGCTGCATATCTTTACAGGAAAAGAGAACAGAATGCTGTTCTGTTTTTATCATTTTGACAGTAATGATAAAAACATTTCTATTATTAGAGAATCTTTACAGGAACGCAATCTTTTATATAAGCCTAAAAAATGGACTTGAATACAAGTACCATGAACATAATGTTCTTTCAAGCATCGATGATCAAGTTCATTAATATTATTTGGAGTCTTATCCTCAAAAGCTTAACTACCATAAGTATAATGTTACTTCAAGCATCAACGATAAGGTTGCTAATATGAATACCAAATATAATCCTCAAAAGCTTAACTAAGTCAATGACCATGCATTTTATCAACTTCTTTGCTATTGGTCAATGTAAGAGAATTCCCTAATAGAACCATTATCACCTCATACAGACCATTCTCAGTGGACACTCGCACTTCTACGTCAACATAGGAGATCAAGGAAACTTGTGATACAACAAACTTAGGACCAAATATAGTGTTGTATATAACATTGTATTATCACCATCACCAACTCAGCATTCTATATTACATTGTTCTAGATGTAACACAGTTGCCTGTGACCTTATCTGAATCACTCATGCCTGAAGCCATTGATGTTATGATTTCTTCACTGTCAAAACCTAAACCCTCTTTGCTACCTCTAAATGTATTAGCAGCTTAACGTTAACCATCAAGACACTGCACCTTAAATCTCTGTGTTGATTAACAAAATGCAAGAGACTGCATATAGTGTCATTTTTCCTATTTGTAGAAAAAGTTTCAAAATGCTTCTTGAAGAACTATTTCTCCCAAATTTTTGTGTTGATTAACTAGCATGCAACAGCTATTTGGTAATTGGGAGAAAGAAACAACATGTAATATTTGTATCAGAACTTATTCCACCCATGACCGAGTACTCAAGAGTAAAACTTGGATAACAAGAAAAGTCAAATGCTTAACATGATAAAGAAGTAACGAAATTCATCTGTCTCTTCTCATGGATAAAGCCTACATGTACTCTATAATAGCTAATGAATTATAAGCTTTCTGAAGTGATCACCTTCTTCACGCAATGCCAAGAGGAAGATCAGAAAATCGCGAGATCTTGATTTGATTAGGGAGCTTGCTGCATCTAGGAGCAGGAGCCGGTGGAAGAGCCTGATAGGAGAGCAGCAGAGGATCTGGTATGAGTTTCCACTAAAACAGAAAACTTCCTTAACATTTTAATATCTGAATACGAAATATTTGAAACCAGATATAGACAAACCAGCATCAGAAGATCCAGTTGTAGGAAGCAAAGCTTTTGTAGGGCCACAGTGATTTGGATCCATCTGCTTGGTTCTTCCAAAGTAAATACCACTTGTCTCATCCTATCAGAAATGAAATCTTGTCAGTTACGTCACAACTTTATTGAAAAAGTTCACTGTTGTTAGGGAAATGTAAACATACTCTGGCCTCCCACTGTTGAGGCATATTTGGCATTTGCTGCACCGGGGGGCTGTATGACATCAATGTACATCAAAAGGAATTAGAAATCTTCTGATTTGCCAACTTCAACAACTAAAATGATGCTTTCGCTACACAACTTCTTAGCAATAACTAGTTATCGTAGAAAGGCTATATCACGTTCGCTACTAAGCAATTGATCTCAAGTTACTAGACTGAAGGGCATGTAACAACAGCAGCCTCTTGCAAGAAACACGGAGATTAGGATACATCCAATGTAACGGTCATAACTCATAACCTCGTTGCAAAACCCAACGGGGGCATAATTTTGCCCAATTAATCTCATTCCATTCCCTTAGTAACAAAAAAACAAAAATTTCACGAACAAGCAGAACAGATACAACATGGCCCCAAGCTCTTTCCATGCACATTTAAGTGAATAAGGCAAACACTGTAAAATAAATTAAGTGCAGAAAAGTTAATCCGAATTAGGAATAAACAAAAAATGTTACCTAGAAGCGGTTGCAGATGGCACCCTGTGACTCGCATCGTCCACCTCAAGAATTCGTAACTTGGACGTCACTTCTTCATCAGGCAACACAAGGTTGCCTTGCTCTTGTATTTTTATCTTAGAGTCAGGATTAAAGCCCTGCATCGCAAGAGATATATTAGGTGCCATATAGTTAGGATAAAATGGTGGCATCACAAGGGAGATATTAGAATCCATAAAATTAGGACCAAAAGATTGCAAAGTTAGGAGAAAATGATGGCATACAGAAGGGATATAAGGTACCGCATTGTCCATAGTCCGTGGAACCTGAAAATTTAAAAAATCATGCATTCAGATTATAATTGTCACAGAAAAAATGAATTCAACTTAGAAAAGTTTAGCTAACACCTCAGCATAGGGCTCTTGGGCCTGCTCGGCCTGATTAGAGTTGAATATATCATAGAATACATCCCACCACTCAGCTAGAAATCCCCCAGGACAATTGACAGCTGAAACATATCCCACAATAAAATAATGGTACATTAAATAAAATGATCAGTCACTTTGTGGTGCATATTTCTCTAAAATAAACAAGCAATTAATACAGTTTTAGAAACATGAAAAGCGTCTTACCATAAACAATTGAATTAGTCTATTATTCCCTCCATTTTCTATTTTATATACTACTCTTTTTCTTAAGAGTAACACGGTCATCAATCATGGGTTCACATTCCAAATTAAGCATAAGCATTGAGAACCTTTAATGAATAATGCTCACTATTAAAGCACCATTAAAAATCAGTTTCAACCCTACTACCTGGTATTTAAATGGAGAAAGATAGAGAGGCCCATTATCCACCGACTTACAAACCTTGCACCATTGGTCCTCGGGAATTTCTCCGTAATAAAAACAAAAAAAAAACATTTACCAGCTTGTCCCGGATTAACATTAGCTTCCCTGGCCAATGCCTCAGCTGTCGTATTCATGCCCTTCTTAACCAAGTAATCATGGATGTAGACGTCAAGCCTGAAAATTGCCCACACATCAAGAAGAAAAGGAAAAGTGAGTCATATAAATTTGTTTGGTATGATGTAAGCTGTTTTCCCTAAACTATTTTCTTGATGAAGCCGTCTTCGAATATTTAGTTATCTTAAAATGTGAAAATATTTCTTTTTAA